CTGACTCACAGGGACCCTCACTGGGTTTCCAAGGCTGTAAATCTTGATGCAAGTGCAGACGAGCGGGTGGGGTTGACCCTCCGACCTCCCGGTTAGTAGCCAAATGTCTTACCCACTCCACCGCCAGAGCTCTTTAAAAACCGTCTGCAGGAGCTCCTAGGTTAAGTGACTCATAAGCGGGGCCACGATGCCCCAGGAGGCGTTTGCCGGAAACGCTGCAGAGGGACCACAGGCAAAGCAGAGGCTTCTCTGGGGGAACTAACGGAAGCTCATTTGCATCGGGGCACAGTGCGAGGGGGCAAAGGGCAAGCCGAAGCTGGAGTGGTGGCAGGGCCAGATCCCAGGGGGTCTGTAAACCATGTCAAAGAGTCGGGACTTTATCCTTTGGGTGAGGTGAAGGGGAGTCCCCGAAGTTTCAGGCGAGGGCCGAACACAATCAGAGCTGGGCTTTAGAGAACTCCAGGGACTGCGGTTTCAGGCTGGAGGCGAGCAGACCTGTTGTCGGGGAGTGCCCTCAGGAAGCTGGTGCAATAATCTCGTTGAGACAAAACGATAGTGGCCGAGGGATGGAGAGGGAGTATGGACTGGAAAGAGGTGGAGATTTGAAAAACAAGTCCTCCCGACTCACAGCCGGCGCCTCCCGAACCTCATCCCAAGCGGCTGGGCTCACGCCCGCGACTGCGCGGCCACGCACCACCGCGTCCGTGGGGCTCCCGGGCACAGGCGGCCGGCTCCACCTCCCGCAGATCGGGGCCCTCGGCCCGCCCACTTTCCTGCACGCAGTCCTCCCACCATCCACCGCCCTGGCAGCAGCCCGCGCTGGGGAAGCCGGCCTGGGCTCCAGGACATGGGGTTCACTCTGAGCTGGCGGCCCGGCCGTCTCTCTCCGGAGCCTCCGCAGCAGCAGGTCTAGCGCGCGGCCGCTTCCGGGCTTTGCGGGAAGAAGGGCACCGCCGGGGACGTCACTTCCAGACTCCGCCCCACGTCAGTGTCCCAGAGGAAAGCACTGCGCGGAGGCCCCGGCCCGGAGCGTCCGGCGGCCTATGGGGACCCCCGCCCTCAGCCCGCCCCACTGCTCAATCCGGCGGCCTCGGCGTCCCCCGACCTCCAGCTGCATCTGGGCCCCGGTCGCGGTGAAGGAAAGGGCAGGGGCGACAGCGGCTCTGGGCAGCGGCACCGGATGCGGGCCTCGGAGGGCGCTGGGCTTCCGAAGACGGTTCAGCTGGTCGGCGGCAGGGGGCGCCAGAGCTTGACCTTGGTAGACGAGGGGCTGGGATCCCAGCAGCTCGCGAGGCCCAGCCGGAATCGGCGAGGAGGCCGCGAAGCTCGCCACTCGCCACCGACGCCGTGGGGGCAGGGTCCTCAGGCTCGGCCCGGCCGGCCCGGGGCGCTCGCTGCCGCCCCTGCAGGACCGAGTCCCGAGCGCCCCCGCCTGGCCAGACGCCGCACTGCCCACCATCTCTGCGCAGGCGTCATGCTGCGCGGCCCGCGGCATTCTGGGAGGTGGCTTCCGGAGACACTCTCCACGCCCCATCAGCCGTGGCCGCACACTCTAATGGAGCGTGGCGGACTCACCCCCCAAAAATAGCTTTGAAGTTGAAGTTCTGTGAAATGTTTTTCCACCCTTGTCTGCCCGTTTGTTGTACTGTGGTGAGTGATGTGATGCTGGAAACTATGCCACCAGTATGTCAAAGGCCAGCAAGGTCACCTCTGGTAGACATGTTTCGGCCCTTCCAGACTAAGAGTAAGAAGGACCTGGCTGTCTCTTTCTAACAAATGAGCCGGTGAAGACGTTCTGAATAGCAGTAGAACATGGAACATTGATACAGTGCTAGAAGAGGAGCCACTTAGGTAGGACGACACTCAAAACACCACTGGGGAAGGGCTGCGTCCTCAAAGCGAAGTCGATCTAAAGGACATGGATGGACTAAAGCTTTTGGGACGTGGCATAACTCAAAATGAGAAGCAGCAGCCTCAAACACCTGTTAATAATTGGAATGTGCAATGTGTGACGTATGAGTCTAGGAAAATTGTGCGTCATCAAGAACAGAATGGAACACATAAAAATTGATATCCTGGGCATTAGTGAGCTGAAATGAACTGCTATTGGCCATTTTAAAATGGACAGTCATGGTTTGCTGTGCAGGGACTGACAAATTGAAGAGGAATGGCATCACATTCCGCAACAAAAAGAACATTTTAAGCTCTGTCTTGAAGTACAATACTGTTACTGGTAAGGTAATATCACTACAAGGAAGACCAGTTAATATGACTATTCAGATTTACACATCAACCATTAAAGCCAAAGATGCAGAAATTAAAGATTTTTACCAACTTCTGCTGTCTGAAATTGATCAAACATGGAATCATGATGCATTAATGATTACTGCTGGTTGGAATGCAAAAGTTGGAAGTGAAAAAGGATTGGTAGTTGGAAAATATGGCTTTGGTGATAGAGACGACACTGGAGACTGCATGATAGAATTTTGCAGGACCACTTTAGTAATTGCAAATATGTTTTTTTTTTTCAACAACATAAACAGCGAATATACTGTGGTCATTGGCTGAACTGTTCAGGAGTCAAATTGATTACATTTGTGGAAAGAGATGATGGAGGAACTCAGTATCAGTCAAAACAAGGTCGAGGGCAGACTGTGGAACAGACCATCAATAACTCCTATACAAGTTC